GTTGCTTGTAGGGTTCAGGGGATCTCGTAGTCGAGCAGTCTCGACTAGAGCTTTCTTACTTGTTTCTTTTTTGTATAATGAATTTTTCAGCTTTACATGACATTAGTCTATAGTCTTCCACAATATTTTGACTTTTTTGATAAGCATATCAATTAGCAGTGCCTTCTTTTGAAAAGTTTTGTTACCAATCATTTTATTTTTCCTTTTGGTATTCTTGGAATGAATTTCTTTATTTTTGTATGAAGCTAGTTTTTATAGAAAGAAAAGTCCGTAGTCGCATCACTTTTATTTGTAATTTTTGGCTCATTTATATTAAGCTCTATTTTTATGTTTTTTATTTAGTTATCCAAATAGTTTCCTTATAAAAGTCTTCAATCGGAGAAGAATACGGAGACGTACCAGCTCTTGACAATAACAAAATAATAGCTCTATATAAACAAAAATAAGTTCCTAGTCTCATCATTTATTTACTCTTATTATTTTGTCCCTGTATGTTTATACCCTGAACCCATTGAAAATGGGAAATCAGGGTATAATGGATTTTATTTCTATTTCTATTTAGCTTTCCCAACTATTTATTCTAATGCTTGACAACAACTATAAGTATATTAGCTTTATGATAGCTCAGGCAAGTGTGCAAGTTTTCTTACGTTTAAACTTATAAGTCCATCCAAATCTAGATTACGACTCAAAGCTTTCAGTAAGCTCAGCCAATTTTGAATCATAGAACCTTTCGAGCTACGCAAACATATGTGGCAAAGCTTAAAGCCTTTTGGGCTACTTGAATTGGCTTTCGGTACGATTGCAACCCCTAAAATGCGGCAAGCTTAAAGCTAAGGGCAACCCCATTGATAAAAGCTCTGGACGGAAAATGAAAATGGACTCGACTGTCAGTGCGTGAAAAGCAGTCGCAGTGTTCGCTTCGTGACTGCAACAGGAAATAAAGCATCGATAGGGTCTACCCGAGTCTGCTTGCCTTGTGGCTTTGCCAACTGTCGTGGCTCAACCACCCGCACACACGTAGACACAAATGCCAGCGGATTGGCCAGCTGTTAGTCGAGCAAGCGAGTGATTGATTTTTCGCATCAGCAACTCGAGCACCGTGGAAAGTGTGGCATAGGTGAAAGTGGCAGCTGCGCCCAACTGGCCCCAGCCACACATATGGACATGAATGCCACGCTGGCCGAAGGTCAGCAGCCAGCCAGCAGCAACAGCAGCAGTAACAGCAGCACTGCCAGCTGTGACAACCTACAGCAGTTGGCCGCAAAGGTGGGAAGTGCAACTGGAACAGCAACTGTCAATGAGGACGTGGAATGCGTTGAGAGTCCAGCATATCCAGAGGCTGATCAGGACGCAGAAGCATTTGGCGAGGACGAGGCGCAGCCGTTGAGCGAACGCTGGTCGCCGTTGGGCGCAAATTATGACGATGCCAACAGCGCCAGCTCCGAGCTGATAACGAGCGGCGACTGTGAGCTGAAGCCAACGATGCTCAATCAGGAGCTGGAGAAGCAGCCGCCAGCAGCGGTGGCAGCGAACGAGGAGAGCGCCAGCGAATTGGCGCGTTTGCGCAGCATTGAGGAGGAGCAGGAGGTGTTGACCAGTTCACTGTTGGCGTTGACCTCGCAGTTTGCGCACGTTCAGCTGCGCGTCCGACAGATTGTGGAGGCGCCCACAGATGAGCGGGATCAGCTGCTGCGTGATCTGGAGGATTTTGCCTTTCAGGGCATACCGGAGGTGCCACTACCAGCTACCAAAACTGACAACGACAATGATGAAACGCAGCAGGCGACTCCGCCGAATGGCCAGCTGATCGAGAAGCTGAAGTCGCAGTTAACGGAGCTGGAGCAGTTCGCCTATGATTCGGGTGCACCCGGTGTGTTGCCGCAGCATGTGCTGCTCGAGAAGCAGAAGTTCATACTGGACGAGCTGCGCACGAAGCTCAATCTGCAAGTGGAGCAACATCAGCTGCCCGCTCTCAGCACCGAGGAGCTGCGTCATCAGGTGGACAATGCTATTGGCGAGTTTGTGGGTCCGCTCAAAATGAAGGAGCAGCTGGTGGCACAGCTTAAGACCCAAATTACCGATCTGGAGCGTTTTATAGCCTTTCTGCAGTGCGACACCGCTGGCGGCACCACCAGCGCCAGTGAAAAATTGAAGCTGCTTAGTGGCGCCTACAACAGTTATGCCGCGAAGCAGACGGCTAGGCAGGCGCCTGGTCAGCTGCCTGTGGTGGCAACCACATCAACAACAACAACAACAACCAATAGTAGCAGCAACAATATGAGTGCGACAGCAGCATCGTCGTCATCATCATCCAACTCCAACTCGGAGAATGGACCACAACGGGAAAGCCTGCACAGCAAGGCGCATGGATTGCTCGACAAGGCATCGCTACTGATGCAGATGTTTGCGACCACACACTTTGCCAAGCGCCAAGCGGACTTTCAGCAGAACTCTCTAAAGAAGACGCACAAGGGCAACCATTGGGGGTGAGTGAATAGCATTAAAAATTTAATTAATTTAATTGCCATCGTGGGAATTGGAATATCCGTTGTTTTCGTGCCACTGTGGCAACGCCAACGTGCGTGCAATCGATATGCGAAGAGCGTCGATTCATGTTGCCATTTTGAGTAATCCGCCGTTAGACTTGGGCATATTCTTGAAAGAGTGGCATATTATCAGAAATATTTGTATTTAATTACAATTTCCCAATGATATCAATTAATTTTAAATATATATACATTTTAAAAGGGATCTGCGCGCGCAGCTGGAAGTGGATATCCAGGAGGTGGCCGCGTTGGCAGCCACATTAAGCTGCGATCGCGAAAAGTTGGCAAACATCAAGCGTGCTCTACGCCAGCAACGGGAACAGCAGACGACCAATGTCAACAAGCCAAGCGTCTCGGTTGATGCACAGAATGGAGCATTAACCACTTTGCCGCCACGATGCAGGCGTGCAGCTGTCAACAGCGCCGGCCACGAGCTGACGCCCTATGCCGCAAGCGCAGCTACAGCCTCATCCGATTCGGATGAGGACATGTACGAGCGCTACGATTGGGACACGGACAAGTCTCTGGGACGGCGCATTGTGCACATGCGTGGCGACTCCATAGCCACCATTGGCCGCGAGTTAACCAATGTGGTGCGTAAAAACTTTGCGCGCACATTGCAGCAGCTCATCCAGCATGGGCTGCGCCTACCAGCCGAATCGGCGGCGTCCAGTCTGATGGTGCCATTCATGCGTTGCCTGCAGCCGGGCGCACAGCGTGTGGCGGCGGGTGCGGCAGCAGAGATGCAGTTCCTTGGCATTGGTCGTAGCATGCACGCCTGGGAGCTGATACTGGAGTACTACAATCTGAAGAATGGCGAGGAGTACAACAATACGCCGGCCAGGAAGCTATCGCAGAGCTTCCAACTGGACATTGTGGACGCGCAAGCGGTGACAGCCAAGCAGAGTCTGCTGAGCGCCATCGGTATGATCCTGGCTATGCATCGACCATACAAGCGCAGCTACAATGCCCACTTCAAGGCTCTCATCTGTGCCGGACTCAAGTGAGTTCTTCATTTGATATCCTATTCACTTGAATAGTAATTTCTCTTTCGTCTCGCAGCGCACATCTCTTGGTGGAGTGGCTTAATCTGATACTCAGCTGCAACGAGCTAATCGATACATACTACACGTCCAACAGCTATGTGGCATGCACGGGCTTCCGCGACTCGTTGCGCTCAATTGATGCACTGTCCAAGTTTGACTTCGATTTGCCCGTGGATCTAGCCATACGGCATTTCCGCAATATCTAAATTAAATCGTTCGATCGATTGGCATCCAATTTTTGTTCTCCCTTATAACTAGTCCAAGTCATAATTCTAAATGTATAAATATGTGTATATAACTTTAGATATGTCCAATTAACTAAATACCTACTAAATACAATTACTAAACCTAACTCGCCTTGAATTCGCTTGTGTAGAACTGATGGATGCACTGGCTCAGCTTGTCGCCCAGTGGCCGCTGCAACGGACCGCAGCCGAGTCCTGCCAGCAGCTGACGTGCTTCGGTCTCGCTCTGGCACGCTGCATATGCATCCAGCAGCAGACGCGGCGTCGCATATCGCTCCACAATAGCCAGGGCCCGGTCCAGTGAGAGGGAGTGCAGCTGCAGCAGCTGCTGCACGAATACCTCGCGCACCGTCAGCTGGGCATTGCGTGCCGAATCCTCGTAGAGAGAACGAAACTTGAGCAGACCCTCCTGGCCCCGACAACTGTCGGCCTGTGCTTTGGCCAGCTCAGCCTTGTCCACGCTGCACAGCGTCTTGGCCGCGTCCACA